TATATAGGGTGTTTCATTGGTCTATCATATCTCTATCAAAAGTTATTGTCCAAAATCTACTGGAGACCTTTCATGACCTGAGATGACCTCAGTAACATAAAAGTGGTCACATCACGAGTGACATTTACCGATTAAATGTGTCATATTTACCTGAATCCCGATGTTTGAGATTGTTTTCGTTCAGAAGAAGAGCATTTCAATTGTCTCCCATTAATCTGCGCCGTGCTGGAAGGGGGGGGGGGGTTCCGCCCCTTAGGTTTTTTCGCGAATATCTAAAAAACGGCGTCGCGCAGCGCCGCTGTTTTTGGTACACCTGTTCATACATCTTTTCTACACAGCTTGTGAAAATTTCAGATCAGGTTCGTTCAAGGTCAGGTGACCAGGGCACGTCAAGTGGCCTTACCTCAAAAAAGTTTAAAGGCCCGCTATAGCTACAACGACTGAACGATTATTTTTGAAGCTTTCAGAGATTGATAAGACTAATAATATGTATAAAATGCTCATCTCGGACTTTTTATTTCTGTGACCTAAGGTCAAAAAATAAAAAAAATTGACCCAAGGTCAATTTTGGAACCTCAAGTCAGTGGGAGAAAAGTGAAATGCGCCTCTTTTTGGACGAATGTCGTTCACAGCCCTCTAAAACATCGGTTCATAGGAAAACATAACACACTGAATCGTAAAAATGCACCTGTTAACCTTCTGTTTGCCCTTGAGGACTGAGGTCATCTCAGGTCAAAAACGGTCACCAGCAGTTTTTTGGCTATAACTTTTGATAGAGACGTACTAGAGCGGTGAAAACACGTCAGATGTGGTCAGCTCGACGATACGGATCGACTGATATGCAGCATGGCCCATTCCGGTCAGGTCATGACCTTGACGTGCGGTCAAATTTTCAAAATGACCTTTCAAGGTCAACGTATAGTTCATTCGACGCGTCTCGACGAGCGGAACACGTTCCGCGGCGCTGTAGCTCTATTGGATCCCGAGTTAGCCGTTGGCAGTTTCCAAAATTGTAAAATGGACTAAATTTTACTCGCCTCCGACTGCAGTCGCTGCTAGTATGAGTTATGACAATCAGTTGGGATCTCATGGTGGATCTTATGGTCTGAAATGTTCAAGTTTTTCCTGGATTCCAATTTCGGCAATAAGTCGCAGCGTGAATCCTTCATACTACGTGCGGTCTTATATTCTAAGCACGGCCACTCCGGTCGACCACAGGCTGCAGCCCACAGGTCACTTTGGATCAGTGAGTGAACCTGTATAATTTTTTTGCAAAGAATGAAAAGTATGCTCATCGATCAATGTATGTTTTACCGTTTCGAATTCGCATGGATGCGTTTTTTTTAGAATAAAATGTCCGTAGCCTGAACTCGTTTCCTATATCGTGCTAAATATTCATCAAGATCAAGGTTTTTTGATAAAACAACACCGGGCTGCAAATTGCATCAGCGAAACCTAGTTTTTATACTCGTATTTTGCAGCACCTAGTAAATCATGCATGAACATGACGTTACATTTTAGACTGACGCCCCTGTCGCGAGCTGACAATGGCGCCCCTCTCAAGGGAAAAAGTCGCCCCCTCGAGCACCATGGCCCCCCCCTTTCGCTGATTTCTGGCTACGCCACTGGGGGGGGGGGGTTTGAACACCCCCCCTTGTGGTTTTTCGCGAATATCTCAAAAACGGCTTTTAAGTACACCTTATCATACATCAATTCTACACATATTGTAAAAATTTCAGACCATGGTCATTGAAGGTCAGGTCACCAGGTCACTTGAAGTGACCTCACCTCATAAAAAGTTTCAATGTCTGTCATAGCTACACCGAGTGACCGATCGCTCTGAAACTTTCAGCGATTGCTAAGAGCAATAGTATGTACAAAATGTATATCTCAGAATTTTGATATCGATGACCTAAGGTCAGGTCAATTTTGCGACCTCCCCATTATAAGTCAATGCATGGGAGAAAATTGAAATGCGCCTCTTTTGGATGAAAGACATTATAAACACTCCCAAACACCGAATAACAAGTGGTTTAGACACACTGAACATGAAAATGGTGTCCGTGACCCTTGGTTATGCCCTGAGGTCATCTTAGGTCACGAATGGTATCTTACAGTTTTTCGCAAATAACTTTTGATAGAGGCATGCTAGAGCGATGAAAACGCCTTAGATGTGTTCAGCTCGACGATACGGATCGACTGATATGCAACATGACCCTTTCCGGTCAGGTCATGACCTTGACCTGAGGTCAAATTTTCAAGTTGACCTTTCCAGGTCAAGTTATAGTTCATTCGATGCGTCTTGACGTGAGGAACACGATGCCGGTGAAAGTAAGCTCGTACAACGCTTGGTTCAAAAGTTATTGCAGAAAAACTGTTTCCGAAAAAATCGGCTATTTTTGCAGTTTTTGCCCCCTGCAGGCAAAACCGTTGACGCTAGGTCAAATCTGAGCGAATTTTTCAGAAAGGGCGTTAATAGGGCTATCGAATGCGCTTTTCCGCGGCGCTGTAGCTCTATTGGTTCCCGAGTTATGCGTTGGCTTCTTGGAAATTTTCGACATTCGACCTGGAAATCGGCTAAATTTTACCTTCAATGACCTCTGGTGACCTGACCTTTGACCTGACCAAAAATTGACCTAAGTGATTTCGTCATTATTTTTGACGCTCTTTCGACCACCGCCTTCCGCGTATCGCTACGTGGCCCAGGAGCCGAGTTACAAGGGGGGGTGTTCAAACACCCCCCAGCAGGGCGTGGAAATCCAGGACCCCCAGCCGGGCGCGGGTTAATCTGTTACGTAATACAATTTTTGGGTTCAAATATGGGTAAAAGTTGCTGAGAACTTCTAGAACTTCTTTTTGCATTTTAATGGACTGTTCCCCAAAGTATGGGAGCACTAAGTATTTCTCGAGTTTGTTGACAGTGACATCGATCGATGACAGTGACAACAGTGACAAATCGATAGGATATGTTTCGGAGTGGAAAAGTGTGGAAAACATTGTTGATTTCCTACATTTATTTAAAATACCATTCCTTCAATATGGTGTCTGTAAGGGTTTTTTGTAAATGACATTTTTGTGACCTTAGTAAGGTTGTGGCATACTTTATGTTTGCCATTCCATTCCTAATAAAGGTGCCTTTCAGAAGATATGAAACTTTAAGACCTCGCAAGAATAAAACCAACAGACAGGACAATGAAATTGAGCTATACTTACGGGCCTTACTGAGCCCATTGAGTTATCACGCATGAGTGTGAACTTTGGGCGCATTTTTCTTAGTCTTGCTGTAGACATACAGATAAAACAATGCCATATATGAAAAATTCAGACATTTCTTAGCCTCACTGACACAAAAAAATAAACAAAACTCCAAAAAAGATTTTTGGAATTAAGACGCACTAGATCGGGAAAATCCCCACTGTGCACTGGGGGGCTATTCACAGCCCCCCTCCCGTTTTTCTGCAATAACTTCCAAACCGCTTTACGTATCGACGCCAAACTTTCAGTACCCTCGGCTGCATCGATTTGGCACCTTTTGTCAAAATTTGAACTTCGTAGCTACCATAGGTCGGCCGGAAATGACGTCAGAGTGACGTCATGTTCGGCCGATTTCGACGCAAAACATTGAACCACGGCAATCGCTCCCAATAGCTCAGTTTTTAAGCCAGATCCGATTTCTTTGCATTAGAGGACTCAAAATAGACTGCGCTATCAAACTGCTTGTGACCAAATTTCATTGACCTAGGTCAAACCGATGACGTCACAGGTCAGGTCAAAGGTCGGATTTTCACCGTTTACATGCATTTCAAGAAATGTGTTGTGAAATCGAGTAAAATGGTAAGTTATTGAAAACCATCGATGGTACATTGTTCGTCAAACACATACTTCGCTATCTGAGGTCATTGATACCAGGTCAGGTCACAGAGGTCAGGTCACTGGGGGGTCACAATATGAAAGTGTCGTGTGATACATGTTCTATGGTCCATTTTACATGACAAATGTGATTATGTGGGTCAGGCAGCCTTTGGGGCCAGCAAAGGTCACGTATTGGTGAAGGTCAGGTCAAGATCAGGTCATATTAGGTCAAATTTCAAAGTTGATATTTTTGCATACAATGGGTATCGATTCGTTGCAGCTCGTCACGGGGAGTCGAATGGTGGTCTTTGTTTTGCCCTACATGGTCTAGAATTGCCAAAAAATTAGTTTGAAAATTTGACGTCATCATTTTTGAACAGTTTCTTTCGCTATAACTTATCCAAAAAACGAGATATCGATCTGAAATTTGGTATGTAGATATAAAACGGTAGGTACTATCACATATATTACGTTTTTTTTCCAAACTAAAAAAATGGATTTTTTGGCTAATATATCCAAAAAACGCATTTTTTTTATTTTTAGGGGTCAAAACTCAACAATTTCATAAATCCGAGATAGCAGTTTTGTAGCCCTGTCAATTCTACACCTTTAATGGTTTGATCCTTTTCTGTATCTTCAAAGCTGTAGGCCTGACAGCTCTTCTCGCGAAGGTCTTTTTTCGGTCGAAAATGGCAGAACATGACGTCATTCTGACGTCATTTGTGGCCAACCTATCATAGCCTCTGGAAAAAAATGGTCACAATGTGTAAAATTGTGAGCGGGAATGTAAAATGTAGTATCGGCGGACATCGGGCTTGTGTCGGCATCATGTAGAAAGAGAGTGGGATGGCATCGGGTGAGTGTCGGCGGTCATAGGGCAGGCATTAGTATGACGTCGGGCGGCTGTCGGCAAGAGGAGGCAACGAAGAGGGCGGTTATCGGCGAACATCGGCTAGATTTCAGGCGATCCAGGTGGCCCTCAAACCTGACCGCCCTCCGCTGCGCCGGCCCACCTGCGCCACCCTGCCATGCTGCGGTACTTTCAAGACAGACTGTACAGTGCTGAGGCGAAGTGAGGATCAAGCTAAATTTGGAAGCAATAATGCATACATCAGCGGCCTGTCCGTGCAGCTGCTGCTCACCGTATATCTCCAGTAGTGTGACCGTCCGTCCCAGGTCAGCCAGGTGACTGATGGTGTCGGCAGCCACCCCCTGGAGGGACACTGACAGACCCCAGTACCATCCCGGCCACCTTGGCTTCGTCACCTCCGGCCGCCTCGGCTCCGTCACTTCCGGCCACCTCGGCTCCGTCACCTCCGGCCCTGTCGGACAGAGCTGTGCCAGCTGACTGCAGTCGGACAGAGCTGTCGCCAGCTCCCCGCTGCACCACTGACACCCAGAGTGTCAGACACGGACACAGCCAGTACTAACATAGCCGAGCGGCTGGGGGCGATTTTTGAACACCAACTGTCATTGCAAATATGTGAAGTGAATATCAACAATATTGTAATATGCGACATATTCAAAGCAGATATGTATATTGTATGTATAAAAACTATGTTATGACATGACACCGTATCATACCCAGACACGGTATGAAAAGAAATCAAATATAGGTATTTTATTCATTACACCCGCGCCCTGCTGGGGGGGGGGGGGAGGGGAGTTGAAAATGAACACCCCCCACGGTTTTTAGCGAATCGTTTTTGGCCTACCTTATCATACATCTTTTTGCAGGGCTGGAAAAAATGCTGAATCTGCTAGTAGTAGTAGTAGTTTATTGACACAGTATTAGGTACTAGATGGATAAAACCCAGAAGACAAGTGTCCATTAAAACAGATCATATACAAAACATATTAAAACCGTCAAACATTTACATACCAGATGGTGCACGTGAGATATGCTTATTACAGAGCGAGCGAAGTGAGCGAAGTCTTTCGTAGTTTAACGGAAAGTTCCGAGTATGACCGGCCGTGCGGACGCCTTTGCGAGACTTTATCTCAGCAACAAGGTATGCTTCGTTGCTTCTACTAAGGATTAGACTCTTCCCGATGCATGTTGGTGACCCCTTATGCACGTGCCACGTGTAAAACGAAGAGGTGTCAGTTATATAACAATTGTAATATCTCGGTAGCTATACATGGCCGATTGCGCTGAAAGTTGGCATGTGGGTAGGCACCCACGAGGCAATGCATATCCATGTGCCACAGTTGGAGTGCTGCTGCACGTGCGCAGGTGTAGGGGTCGATTCCAGATCTCGAAAATGACTGAACCGATTGCGCTGAAATTTGGTGCATGGTTGAGTACCGGTTATTAGCCTTCCAGGCGGTGGGGATGGGGGCATTTTTTTGCCCCCCCCTTTAGTTTTTTTCGATATATCTCGAGAACCGCTGCGCCGATCGTCACCAAACTTTCAGTACCCTCCCGGGAGTAGCTAGCGCACATGGTGACCAAAAAAATTCCAAAGGCTATGATAGGTTGGCCGCTAATGACGTCAAAGTGACGTCATTTCTGTAATTTTCGACCCAAAAAAGGTTTCGCGGGAAGAGCTGTCAGGCCAACAGCTTTAGAGATACAAAAAAATGTTTCAAACATAAAAGGTGTGGAATCAAGAGGGCTACAAAACTGTTTTTTTTTAGTTTTTCGATTTTTTTTATTTTGACCCCCAAAACTAAAAAAATAGATTTTTTGAATATAATACCCGAAAAATCCAAAAAGTTTTTTGAATTTCGAAAAACCGGAACATATGTAATAGTCCCTACCGCTTTCTATCTCCATACCAAATTTGAGATCGATACTTCTTTTTTTGGCCAAGTTATAGCGAAAAAACTGTTCAAAATTGATGACGTCAAATTTTCAAACTCATTTTAAGCAATTCTAGACCTCGTAGCGCAAAACAAAGACCACCATTAGACTCCTCGTGACGAGCTGCATCGAATCAATACCCATTTTATGCAAAAATATCAACTTCGAAAATTGACCTTTTCTGATCTGACCTTGACCTGACCTCCACCAGAAAGTGACGTAAACCGTACCTGATGGTCTTATAACCAGCACCATTGAGTTGGAAATTAAAAACTGGCCATAAAACATGCATGAGCATCGCACAACCTTACTGTTAACGCCAGACGCCTTGAGACCCTAATTTTTCGCTATTATTTTAAAATGCGTGGAATAATTTCAACCATATTTAGGAAATAGCTGTTTCAAGACCTGCCGAAACCTTTTCTTCAAATACATTTTGTTGTCACTTAAATATTTGTGGCACTTGACATTGACTCGTAATGTTAACTGTTTTCCATCCTGGATAGAGGCTTTCATGCTGTCACATGACATTAGGCTCCGCCCACGACTGCGGCATTGACCCGTGCCCATCAGCGACCTCTGTACAAACGACACGCCTGCCATCTGTAAAGGACTATGAATTTCGCTAATGTTTCATGTGCTATGAATCAATTGCAGCAAACCGTCAAGTAAATGTTAGGCTCTTGTTGACTCTTGTAGGTATATGAGACCAAGAGGACCATCGCTCCTCAATCTACTATAGTTCGTTTTTTTTTTCAAAAGGACGCTGGCTCCAAGTGCATTATCGAAGCTCTCACGTGAGTTTTGGCAGCTTCAGCGTCTGGCCAAGAATTTCTTACCGAAAAAAATATCCGATTTCAAATTGTGCACGGTAAGTACCCGAAAATGGTGTCCTGAAAAATTAGCATACTATGATGACATCACTGGTGGCAGCAGGCACCCAATGTCCGTACGATGGGACGAAGTTTTGACGAACTTGGGGGAAACTTCGTTTTTCACTGTTGCCGAGGTTATAATCGAGTAAGCGGTTTCGTCCATGATAGTTATACGTTACATTGCAATACAAGTTCGACAGCATGACGTCACCACTGTTCTCATATCTGGCTCCAAAACGCACGTATGGAAATCATCGGGAATACTTCACATGTTAAAATAAGGCGACGTTCGAGTTTCTCAGGTTCAGTTTTTGCTCGTTTTGCTCGCTAAAACGCGTGCTTTTTCGAAAAACATACTTGGAGCCAGAGTCCTTTTGAAAAAAAATGAACTATATCAAGCCACATTTTAGTGCATAGTGACCCAGATATTCGGAGTTACGATAATAGGTAACGTAATGTAATTCTAAAGTAATGTTAAGTCGAGATTTAAGTATGGGTAACAGGCGCAAGAAGACGCAGCAAGGTGAAGCTGAAACCAGTCAGAATCAAGAAGAAGTAACGGATGGAACTGAAGGGACAATGTCAACTACCACTTCTACAGAAAGCCATGTGAGGGCAACTTAGTGAATTTAACCCTCGCCCTGGCAGGGGAGGGGGTCGATGCGACCACCCCCTAAGGTTTTTCGAAGATAGCGTAAAAACGGTGGCGCGCAGCGCCGCCAAATTTGGCACAGCCTATGGGGCAACCTTTTTACATAACCTTTTTACAACCTTTTTACATAACCTTTTTTATACTCACACATGCTTCGAAAAAAAACGTTAACGATTCCTAACAAATACGATTTTCGATGTAGGATATCTGTTTGGTGAAATACGAGCGACTCAAGCGAGCCTTATGTGAAGCGAAAGCAATTACATAGCTAATTATTGCGCTGGTCGATGGGTACATAGCGATGTACAAATCAGGAGCTACTTGATAACATCCGACATCCCATTATCGCATTATCTGCAACGCCATAGGCTTTAGGGGAGAGTGGGGCACATTCGTGCAAAAAATGGATAAACCCATATATCTGTTCTTTGGTTAGTGCAATGGCAAAATTGTTGATTGTAGTATGAAAAGGAACTATTGCAGATAGTTTTCCTCTTTAAAAGTTATCCTATAAAATTATTGCTTCCGTTAGAAAAAAATGACTTTTATTAACTCTGAACATTTGCACGAAACTGCCCCACCTATGGGGCACATTCGTTCAAGAGATGGGGCACTTCCGTTCACCCGGCAAAATTCGAGAAATTACCGGGCATTACCAGAAATTTACCAAAGGAAATTGGCAGGGGGTCATTTCACTTGATTCCTTTCGACAAGAATGCATTGCACAACAAATGTAGAAAGAATGGGCTGGCCAACAAGAATGTGCCAACTGCCGGCCTCCGTGACCTCGCCAAGTTCGCGTGAATTGCTCGTCACGACGTCGCAAGCAGTCGAGACTGAGTCAGGCGAGCGTCATTAGAGAAACCTACTACAGATAAAGTCATAAATCGCAAAAACTAAAAAAATATATGCACGAATGTGCCCCCAGGCAGTGCGTACACGAACCTGCCCCACAACGTTATTAGTAATATATTTCAAAATTTCTTTTTGAAAAAATGACACTTTTTCAACAAACAAGTTTGCAGCAGTTCCGTGAATAGAGTGGGCTTCTTCACCCCTAATTTTGAAAAGCTGAACCACATTTTCGAGTCAGGATCACGAAAATGGATGATATGAGAAAAGTTTGGAAAGCTCACGAATATTACAAATTTGCGTTTTTCTCAAGCATGACAGCAGGTACAGTGTTGTCTTCTACGGTGAACGAAGGGCGGCAATGATAGACATATTTCCATAATTTACCTTGAGCTCGTGCAGTCACTCGTGTTCCCATAAACTGCTGAAAACGAATGTGCCCCATGCACGAATGTGCCCCACTCTCCCCTAAATACAGGTGAATATTTCCTAACCTTGTCAGTTATATGCCGTCATGTGCAGCTTATAAAAAAAATAAAACAAATATCAGCGAACATATCAGTATTGTACAAGCAATGCGCATTGAGCATTTATGGCTCCTCAGTCATCATGTCGCTATTTGGGCACTGTCAGACAAGACGTTACGCACAACTCCGCCGGCTTTCGGCACCGCTCGACCGTCCCCGCTCCCCGCCACCGCGCAAGTGACCGCGCGCCGGCCCGAAACCGCCGCAGGCAGGCTAAGACCACAGAGGCGGGGCTTAGCTGTGACGACATAACGTATCACAGACTGACTGGTGATAGCCTCTACACGCCGGGTGAAAATCTTGCTCGAAATTTAACATTACGAGTCAATGAGAAGTGCCTGAAATATTGAAATGGCGACAAAATATCTAAATTGTAAAAGTTTCGGCAGGTCTTGAAACGGCCATGTCCTGAGCTTGGTTGAAATTCTTCCATGCATTTAAAAATAATCGCGAAAAATTAGGGCAGAGGTCGACAAAATTCATGGAGTTTCTCCGACTACCGGCTAATTTTCTCCGGCTTTTCTTCGACGATTGTGAGAAATGATGAATTTGGATACCTATCCATGCAACCCAAAACACTGGTATACGGCAGTCATAAGCCCTTGTTAAG